CGAACCACCCCTGGATCCGCCCCAGAGATAGGAGAGAAGCCTGGGTTTAGAATAACGAAATGATCCGTCATGGCGGACGATCAAGGCACCGGCCGATGTTTCATTACAAGTACACTGACAATGTCTTTTCATAACACCTGACACTCTGTGCGAGTTTAGAAGGACATAGATTCTAATTATGAAACTGATCGCAAAGAATTTCGAGAAAGACAGTTCGGGGTAAGCGTTAGAGAAATGTAAGCGTTTTAGCAATGTAAGCTTTACTAAAGTTGATATCTCGAGCTCTTCGGAATAACTATTTAATCTCTGATCAGAATAGTTTTAGGTCTTAAGGTTGAATTTGGTCATTAACTCATTTTTGATAAGCCATTTAACCATTTGTCTATTTTGATGTTGGGCAAATTGAGACCATGATCTGACGAAAAATACATATTCGACGAAGAATCGATCACTATCTTCATGGCAAATTTGAAATGGTTTTGGATTTTTGTTTGTTGGATGATGTCTTTCAGTGTTTCTCAATCTTTAATTATGTGCATGTATCCACCTTATTGACTTTCAGTTTGTGAGCGACATGGTAACGAAATGGTAGTGTTTAAGTCATGATCCACTATTAATCATATCAAGATTTCGAATTTGCATAAGTTAGCATTTCTCCTAGTAGATCAACAGCTTTTGCCAAATGTTATAGACGATGGGGAAAGATTTCCATATACCCCTTCTATTCTGAAACAAAGCGGTAGACCTAAAGGAAATCAATTGTTTTTGCAATTACTATCCTTCAAGCAAAAATTGTATGCACTATGATGCAAGGGTGTAATACACAGATCTTACAGAGAATGGCAACCATAATTATAGTAATTCTCCTTACTGTCTGCAATACAATTCCTATGATGTTAGTTTGGAGAAGTTGGTATTGGATCAACTGATGATCCTCCTATTTATATTTTTCTGTATTATCATCACTTGTCTGCTTGATACTGTATTGAAGTTGTAAGGAGAATTTCTGTCTTGGTCACTCATGGGAGCTAAAGGGTTAAAGGTCAGTCAAATTTTAGCTAAGCAATATAAACAGTGGCTTGCAAGGCCCATGGAAACATGATCCTTCAGCATGGTTACATACTGTTTACAGTTTTAACCGTTAAACATTTAGTAACAATATTTTCTTTTTAAAAACATGTTTAGATCTGTTGTCCTGGTCCCAGACGAGGCTGAAGATATGTGGCATGCATATAACCTCATTGCTGTTGGTGATCGTCTGAGATCAACTACAATCAGGTGAAATGTATACAATAATCAAAACTAATAATACTAACACTATTTTGGAAGGTTACTTTTTTGTCTTAGTGAAATACCAAGTGTTATTATCCAACTGTGCTTTGTAGAATACAAATAACACGTGAAACAAGTACTAATATCATGTGATATTTGTACTCCAGAAATATCCATGAAATTCACCTGCACTGAAATAATAATTTAGCATCAGCACAACTCATAAAAATACTCAGCGATGCTACACAACAAAACATCTAATAAGATATATATATATATTAACACGGAAGGCTGAAAATCAAAATCTATTTTCTTTTTCTTTTTAATCAGGCGAGTACAAACAGAGTCAGCAACAGGATCAGTTAGCAGCAACAAAGTTCGAACAACTCTTTCCATAGCTGTGGAAGGAGTTGAATTTGACACTCAAGCATGTATGTTGAGGATAAAAGGAAGGAATGTGCAAGAGAATCAGTATGTTAAGGTATGACTAAAGAAGGTTGTGCTTTTTTTTACATCTTTAATTCTATTGTTGTATCCTGAGAGAGTGTGGGCCAAATCCTTTTTTACTGCAGTTGGCAGTAATGTCACAGTCTGATAAGCCAATTTTCTGTTGTTGTTAAGAAAACAGACAACACTGCTTGTATCTACAAGTCACGCAACATGTCATGCTCTGAAAGACTCATTTTGTTTGACGTGGATATTGTGGTAAAAAATAAATCAACAGTGGTTTAACATGGTCTGTTTTCTCATCCACATTAATATTCGTCATCACAGTGGTCAAAATTTGTGGGCCAAGTGAGTCCACAACCTTTTGATCCCTGTGATAACAAATATTGTTGTTGATAAGAGAACAGACCACACTAAACCACTGTTGATTTGTTAAACTACAAATTATTCATCCTTCCCTTGATTGACCTCAGTCGCAGTATTTGCCTGTTCAGACAGGATTAGTCTGTTGTGTGATTGGAATGATATTTGTTTTTTACTGCAAAAATTTGATTAGGACTACCAACCTGTTGGTAAAAAAATGGTAAATTACCAACCTGGAGTGGGATAGCCAGGACCAACATCTTGCACCTAGGTTGAGGAAAACTATAAAAAATAAAAGTAGTCCTGGAAAAAGTCAAAGAAAGCCATGCAATTTCATTGTTTGAATAAATTCAAATCCTTTCCAAGAGGAAAAAACTTGGTAATTCATAGTATTGATTAACTTGGAAGGTGCACATCTTCTTACCACCAACAGATGGGGGCTTACCACACAATAGACCTGGAGTTAAATAGAAAGTTCACTCTTATCAAAGAGTACTGGGATATCATTGCTCTAGAAAGAGTTGGTAAGTTGACTTGAACAGAAAAGTAACCTGAACCAATTAATGTTGGGGTAGTTCATTTGTTTGAAAACTCAAATTTTTCACCAAATCAAAATAATCAAATTTGAATTACTATTGTTTTGGACTTACTACCCTCGTCTTGACGTGGAAACACAAAAGGATTATCACATGTGAGAGGCTAGTCAGTCGAGAACAATGGCAATTCAAATTGGGCACCATATTTCAATTCAGTATATAGAATCATTCCATGGGATTGAGGATAAATATGATGACTACTTTTCAGAACTAGCCTGTGACCCAGCACAGCATGCCGATCTAGGAGCCATTTTACTTCACGAAGGTGGGTCATATGAATGTATACTCTCACACACAACCAAGAACCATGTCAAGCCAAACCAAGCAGGCTGACCCTTACCGGTATTTAAAAGTATCAAAATGTTACAACAGAGTAACTAACAGGAAAAATCCTCCCTAGATTACTGTACATGCCTTAGCAAAATTGGACAAACTAACTACTGATCAAGCAATTGCCATAATGAAAACCCTTGGCCAACAAAGGCTGTATAACAAGAAAGAGACAACTAAATGTGATTGAGGCACTTACAACCACCTGGGTGGACAGGGAGGTCAGGCAATAGCAAAGGGCAACATAAAACTGGTAATTACAACCAACCAGGTGACTAGACCCCAGCATATTAGCACTCAGACTCTGAGATGTGACTGAGAAAATATTTGATTTTACATATTTCTTTCCTCAGCCTGTAGAAAACAACACTTCTGGTCTATTTAATTCAGCTTAGCTACATAATTATAATTATTACCCTATTGATTATTTGGTAACTAAAATTATTCCTACAATTTATTAACAAAGAACCAAGTTTTTTTGGAAAAATCCATTTTTCAGGATTAAGCAATCAAATAGGTCTATTTAATGTAAAATCAGATGAAAAAGTTAGGGTTAGGGTATCTTTTAGGGTTAGGGTTAAACAGGTTACTAAATTTAATCAAGTTCATTTAGGGTTCCTTTTACAACAAATTTTTGATCAGAAAATCAACAAAGCTTATTGTGAATAAAACTACCAATAGCCCTTACTATATCACTTCATTGAAAAAAATAAAGTGCAGCAGTTATCATTAATTTCCCCTTTTTTCTAAAAAACATTTGTTTTGATTCATTTGTTATTACTTCAAATTCCTACAATAAAAACTTCCTTGAGATTTTTTTTTCCTATTGCTTTCATGATGAAGGTATTTTATAGTCATTATATTTTGATTTTTTTCTTCAGGCCTTTGTCATATCTGCCTGGTAACATCAAGTATGACAATTGTAAGAGCAAAGATTGACATGAATATTCCAAGAAAAAGAAAAGGATTCTGTGGCCAACATGACAAGGTCAGTCTCAAAAGTCTGTTTCACTTTAATTTTGATTCTAGCCATGTTGACAATCAGGTTAAACAGACAGCAGATAGAGATCTTCTTGCTGACAGTAGCCCCCCACTAACCACCTTTTGTTGGAAGTCCTGATTATTATGATTGAATTAACAGTGATTGCAGAAATATCAAAAAGAAATGTAAAGTTCAGCGCTTTAATCATTTTAAGTTTCCTATTGATATTTTGCATTACATTTATTTGGGTTTTTACCAGAAAAAAGCAAAATTAATGTACCTGAGCATTTTTAACAATGCGTTTTATGCATCTATTTGTGGCAGCTTGAATATTAATCAAAGTTATTTCTTGTTCAACAGGGCTTGTTTAGGTTTTATGATGCTATAATTCAGGGTATTCTCAGTCATATTAATTTTGAAGGTAAGTTTGAGATGATTCTCAGTGTCCTCTCCCCTGACAGAGTTCAACAGTGCAACCAGCTGGTCACCAATGCGACTGCAAATGAACTGTTGGCCACCAGAGTTCTTATTTTAGTTACCAAGGGGAAAATTACTTTAAGTCTTTTTTTATATTGTTTGACCCGGTGATCAATCATTCCTTTCTTATACACTCAACTGGTTAAGCAAGAATTTGTGTTATGCAAATAAGTATCTTTCAACCATAACTTTTTCATATTTTTTTTGTGAGGTGCAAATATTATGAATCAAACTTTTTTGTAACAAAATTGCTCAATTAGCCAATTGAACCAAGAATGTTTAATTGCCGCGCAGCACCCAAAAAAAAAAAGTTAATTTCTGATCCTGCCGGAGGTTCTCCATGTTCCTTAAGTCTTGAGCCACTCCTTAAAATTCTACTAGAGTTGCTCTGTGGCCCTTCATTCTCCAAAAACATCATGTCTAGATTTTAGTTCAGATCATGGGATCCAAATACAAAATATTGCACAGTTTCTTTTATTGTGTATGCTACTAACTTATGACAGATAGAGGGCTAATGTGATGCATGCATTTTTTGTTGTTGAATGTCAATACCCTTGTTATTCTTTTCTAATTTCATTTTCCAGTCATCAAGTGCATTATTGTTGCTAGTCCTGGCTTTGTCAAGGTTAGTAATTGATAGAGCTTTGAGAACAGGTAATGTCCAAGGACAAATATACAAACATATTTTCGTGCCANCCTTAAAAGATTGCCCTAACATAGTGTTAAGCATATGTCAAGTCATTATCCCGATGATAAGTTTGACAGTCCTGATATCTTTTACTGATTGGCACTTACTGTTAATTGTGGAAAACCCTTTCGAGCCTCCTTAAGCATAGTTGTGAATACGAGTCATCGAATAAACACGTTAAATAATTGTCTACGAGAATAATTATTCGACAAATGGTATAGACCTTGAAACTTGGGTAGCTTACAGGGCGAACGCCACATTTCTGCTTTTCTCTGGCGGGCTTAGCCGTTCTTAGGATTTCACGTAAATCTCCCCCAAGCGTTGCATGTCATTCAACAGAACGGCTGTGGAGGAGACTTCAAGCGGGCGCTTCACAGAAAAAACTAATTTTTTTCAGGAGGAAAAAGGAGTAGCAGGGGGCTTATTAGTAGGGGGTGGGGACTGATAAAAACACTGGAAATTCTAGACGGTGGGGATGGGAGAGGATGGCTCACTAGAGCTTGTATGATATATATTTTTTTCTTTTCAGGCGCATTCTTCATCGGGTCACAAACATTCGCTCAAAGGTGAGGATGTAAAGAACTTAAAATGGAACTGGAAATTTCATAGACATAACATCTAATGAAGTGTAGTCGAAAGGAAAAAGCTCAACTTATGTGTTTGTTTGTTTTGCATGATGTGCAGAAGTTCTGGCGGATCCCACTGTCACCGCAAAACTTGCAGACACCAAGGTAAGCCGAGATTGTTGAGGTTTGTTCCTTAATCAAAAAGCACTCTCAATCACTGGTCTCGTCAACAGTTGCAATGTTGAAAAATGTCTCGACGCAGTCGGTTATCTTCTGCTGATTTTTTTTCTCATTTTAATTGTACTAGGCATCAAGCGAAGTAAAGGCCCTGGATAATTTCTTCATGATGCTACAAACAGAACCCGACAGAGCTTATTATGGGTAGGTTTAGTTGCTGTGACGTCTCTTTTCTTTACTATGATGCGACCTTTTCGCTTTGGTAACATGCAGAAAGAGCAATTTTTCAAGTGAGTGTCAAAAGCAATGCGGATTGCATTGGTTTTTCTTCAACGCACATTGTGATTAGTACAGAAAGCTCTTGCCACTCACTCAACCAATCAAATTTAAGAATAAAATTAATCGCGCCTGAGTCTGCCGCGTTTTCCCGCGCTTGAACACGGTCATATATTTTGGCGCCAAATATATCCTTTGCACTGATTGGCTGCTGTGATTACTATTGGTCTGGTTTCATGATACTCAAGCGAGGAACGTTTAAAATTACACTTCAAAGTAGCCGAACTTACATCAGCATCTTCAGAGGAGATGCTTCCGATGGCAAAGCAAATTTTAAAGTTATTTTTATCATTCGATGGTATTTATAAACCCCAGCGGAGTGTTTTACTTGGCACGAGGGCTGACTTAACCAAAGGATAATCGTTGTTTGCGTGAATTGTTCAAATCAGGTTATTTTTTCTTTATATAGCGTTACACATGTGGAGGAGGCCAATGAAGCTTTGGCAATTGAAACTCTTCTTGTCACAGATGAACTTTTCAGGTCAGAAACGAAAATTGACGATATTCTTGTACAGTCCGAAAAATATATTATTTCAGTTCAACTTTTCGTCTTCAAAGAACATGTTTTTTCTTGCTGCTTTGTAGGTTGATATCGAGGGCATATCTCAATGAGAACGCGAGAAGTCCTTCAGATCTTAATAACCCCCTCAGAGTAAAAATTACCTGTCAGCTATAAAAGTGAATAGTATTGGAAAATTCCAAAAAGAATTCCTCCGAAGCGCATCAGTTCTATTGAAAAGCAGTTTGTACACTATACGAAGTATCAACTTTCTAGGCCTTTGTCTTTTGAATATTTAAGTGCACAGACATACTAAACCACAAAACGTCGGTGTGTTGATGTAGGGGAGGGCTTGGTAAGGTTTTTCCCCAGTGGTGTTTCAAATTGCTCAAGTGCGGAAAGGTTCGGCAAAAACCCAAAAAGTTTATCTTTCAAATTGGCACTCTTCAGTAATCCGACAGGTATCAACGAACGCTTTTCATTCCACTAATTTGTTCGTCTTTTTCTCGTCGCCATGTTCCCACCAATGGCGTAGCTCTGCTCTCTGCATATAAACCCACATACAACCCACAATTCCTCCATTTTATCTTTCAAATTGGCACTCTTCAATAATCCGACAGGTATTAACGAACGCTTTTCATTCCACTAATTTGATGAACAAGATCCAATTACTCCAGAATAAAGCAGCTAAATTAATTTTAGATATGCCAAAGCATTCATCAGCAACAGAAGCTCTTGATCTACTTGGTTGGGATACATTGGAAAAAAGACGAAGATCTCATCGTCTATTTTTGGTTTTTAAGTCCTTGAATGGACTAATTGATTGGAATTTTAATTTTAATCATTTTAAAGACATGCATGATTATAACACTCGTTTTAATAACAACATTTGTAAACCACAATCAAAGCGTACATGGGGTCAGCATCGGTTTGTTTGTCATGCAGTAGATGACTGGAACGCTCTCCCAGACGGCATTAGGAACATTTCCGATTTTTCAGTTTTTAGACGTCTTGTTAAAAATATGTAGTCTCTTCTATTGATTATGCCCTTTTATCCTTTTCTTGATAACCATATTTATATTTTCTGTTATCCTTACGTTAGATTTATGCAGGGCCTCACTGAAAACCACACTTTGTGACGTGGGCTCCCTGTCAAAAGATCTTACTTATCTTACTTATATTTCTCGTCGCCATGTTCCCACCAATGGCGTAGCTCTGCTCTCTGCATATAAACCCACATACAACCCACAATTCCTCCATTGGCTCTCACGAAGGGCTAACGCTCGAAACCTCAGCTTACCTTTTTACCCCCACCGACGCAGCACCATAGTTTCTTTAGAAACTTTCAGCCTTTTAGCAATGTAAATGGTGAAATTTTACAACTGTACAATTTCTCTCTCTTTTTTTCCCCTCGATTATCTCTCTAGGTCGACAGATTTGCCAACTCGCAAAAGATACGTTAAGCTTGTTGAAAGTGTGAAAGAAAATGGCGGCGAAGTCAGGTTTGTTAGGCGCTTGTAGTTATTAAAATGGTGGAATGTTTACGTCTAGTGATGTGAATTGAAAGGGTTTTAATTTGCTTTTCCTCAATGCAGGGTGTTTTCAAGTCTACATGTTTCTGGAGAACGTATGTATGCACTTTTATTTTACATTGTAGAAATAACGGGATCCGGTACCTCGTGGGGAACACAGGTTTTTTCCTTCGTCCCACGATTTTGACGAAACGAATAACACCTTTCTTCATACATAAGCTGCGTGCAATGATTTCTTAATGTTACGTAAAATTTCGTACAACTTTTCATGTTTATATTTACGTCTTGCAGAGCTTGGCCAGTTGTCCGGTGTTGCGGCAATCTTACGCTTTCCTATGCCAGACATTGCAGATGATGAAGGCTCCGCTGATTCTGAGGAGGATTAGTGAAACTTGTACATACATTTCTCAAAACTGGATTTAGAGCGCTTTTCGATTGAATGCCTTAAGACCAAAAGCTGATTTATCGCGGCAACCAATCAGGAGTGAGGCGGATATCTCAAGGAGCCAATGAGAACTCAAAGCTGCCTCAAGCGCGGGAAACGTCACTGACCAAGACGCGATTGGTTTTAGACTTGTATATGATTGGCTGAGGGGATCGCGCGAGTTGTGTCAGACCAATCACAGAGCGAAGTAAAGCAAACCAATTTTGTCCTGGTTTACTTTCGAAACTCGTTTTGAAACACTCAATTATTTTACAGGATTTAGCAAACATTATAATTATTAGAAACTCCGAGAGACAACTTTTTAAAACGTGATCTCAAATTAGCAAATTCCTGTTTATGTTAAACGGGTTTTCAACTTAAACAGGCAACGTTTATGATATCGTTAGAAAAAGTTGTGGTTGTATATCATGACAATGTACATTGCCAGTGATGAAAACTATTGTTTTCCTCTTGATGTAGTTAAAGCTGATGTAGATCGCCTTTTCAACCTCGTTCCCTGGTTGAGAGAGGACCATAAAAACGAGGTTGATTGTGCATTGTGTTGTGGAAACGTTTTGATAGTCAGCTGTAAGTTGTCATTACATATTTATTAATGATAATGAGATAATTAATGATGATAATGTAGCAACAAAGATGGTTATTTCCCAGGCCGTGAGACAGGCTCTTGGGCAAACAGGTTATCCAGATCAATACGAAACAAAAGATTTTGAAAAACATTTCGCTAAGAAAAAAATTTAATTAAGGCGAGGTTCAACATTTCTCAGTTACGATATTTTAGACGACATAGAAACATCGACCCCTGCAGATTTTGGTATTTGAATTGGAATCATTGAATAAAAATTATTCTTAAACCTCAATAAAACAACAAGCACGTCGCAAAAAGCTGGTATGATTCTTTTTATTAAGGACTATCTCTATAGCTGTTAGTTGTGACAAAAATGCAAACACTGATCAAGCGCGACAGTCGTTGATGTTGGTCCGAAGCACCATGCAGAACTCAGCCTGTGAGGAGGCCCTTACTGCAAAACGAGCGGCTAAGCCCACGGGTTTCAAGACGTCGAGTGATGTAACCGTCTCAAATCTTACGAGCTTCGTGCTTGTGCCGCCGTGCTAGTGAGGGTCAGTTCGCAATACAAGGTAAACTCGACGTGGTGAGCTGTGCCCCGCACTACCCCCTCTGGACTTGGAAACGGGCTGGAAGAATTTTAGTTAATTGGGTCACAATAAAACTTACCTGATCCTCCCCTAGGCTCCAATATTGTAATGATCCCCGTCATTAGCAGTCAATTTTTTTGTCCTTCCCCCCCCCCGCCCGGACCCTTTACAGAGTTTGCACTCTGATTTCTCTCAGTTGTGGGTTGCAAGGAAGTGTGGGAAAACAGATTGAGACACTAATTTATTTTTACATGACGTAGTAATTGGCCTGATGAGAACGACGTGCCAGCTCATTTCACGATGACTACTAAAAAGATCTTGAACTTCAATATCGGAGTTCTTGGCCATATCGACAGTGGAAAAACATCACTTGCAAAAGCTTTAAGCTCCACTGCATCCACAGCCTCATTTGATAAAAACCCTCAAAGTAAGGAACGCGGCATAACTCTGGACCTCGGCTTTTCCTCGTTCCAAGTACCAATCCCCGAGCACCTAAAGGAGCACGGATTCGACATCCTTCAGTTTACCCTCGTCGATTGCCCGGGCCATGCCTCTCTGATCCGGACAATCATCGGAGGTGCTCAGATTATCGATATGATGATGCTTGTTGTCGATGTTACCAAGGGAATGCAGACCCAGACCGCCGAGTGTCTTGTGATTGGAGAAATACTATGCGAGAAGATGATCGTTGTGTTGAACAAGACTGACTTGTTAAAAGAAGATAAAAAACAAGCTTTAATCGAAAAGGTAAGTGTTTGCTCCAGGACTCTGTTTAATTCCTCGTTTTTATTTACTGAACGAACACGTGGGAAACAAGTCGATGTTTTCGATCTAGGTAAGGACTCCTTTAAACCTTTAACTGTGAGTGACCAAGACAGAATTTCTCTTTACTAGTTCTTATTAACCGAGCGTGAGGTCTGTATGGGAGAATCTTGCCCAAGGTCGCCAGTACAGAATGAACGCAAAGAGGTCAGTACCAGCGACTGAGGTCAAGATTCTCCCATACAGACTGACGTAGCTCAGTTAATAAGATGTTTATTATATGGCTGTGTCTTATATGCCAATTTTTTTATATTCTTTGTACCTTTTTTTTCTAGACCGGTCTAGATGCTGGTCTAGATGGGAAAATCTAGACCGCTTTCAATATTGTTTTCAGCCAATCAAATTCGTGAATTCGGTAGTTCCCAGTTCTTGTAAGACACAGCCATATAATAATAAGAAATAATGATTTCTCTCTTAATTATGGGGAAATATAATAGCAATTGTCAGTTTTTCAGAAATTACAAACGGGCTACGGGCTCGTGTGGTTTTTTTTGTCTCTGAAAAACTTTCCCTGTACTTATTTACACTAAATTGTATTCGAAATCACGTCATTGCCTATACTTAGC